GATTATTTCTGTAACAGCCGTCAAAATTATCTTTTCAAAGAATTGATAAAATAAAGAACTGAGACCCCTACTTCTTAAAATAAGATTATTGTACCTAAACCACCATTACTACTACTTAGAATATGTTATTAGTGACATGTGAAAGTTAGAATCACGTCATTTGGAGTTTTATAACCCAAGTTGTGCGCATTAGAAGTTTCATGTAGAAACTTCCCAAAAGTTGTCAAAATCAGAAAAAAAAAAAAAAATAGAATTTTGATTTTTGGAAAACTGTTTTTAATGCATTTATATAGCTTTGATTTGGACATATAATAGCTCGTTGGAACGATCTACGTGTCTACTTTCTTGTGGAGTTTATTTTGTAATTTTTGAAGACTTAGATAATAATTTATGAATATTCCCGTCAAGATTGACGAATCTGCCAATTTACTGGATTTATGAAGAATATGGATTCGAGTTAGAAACTGATTTATGACTGAACGATTGGTAGTTTGGAGCGTTTGTGGTTGTTTAACATTAAGTATGAGGTTCTAAAGAGAATACGATGAAAAGTGTTAAAAGATGATAAAACCAAGACTTGATAACTATGATATCTTGAGGAGACTTAATGAATTTTATTGGAGTATGACACTTTTGCATTGATGTTTATGCATTCATGGATATTTTACATATTATTGAACTTAGCATGTTCTTTTCTTGAGTTTTGATCTTGTTTGAGCATGATATTGCATTTCTCTTTCCTTTTGGACATACTTCATGAATTTTCATTTCTCAATGAAAATGATCAGTTTCACCTGTGTTGAGACTTTAAAAAGGATTTTGAAAAGTATATGTGTGTGTATATATATATATATATATATGACGATTATATATATGAAAAACCTTCCGGAAAACTTGATATTCGTGAATCATAATTTACAGAAGTGGAATTTCAGAAAAGAGAATATGTCTCGAATTAGAAATAAATTCGAGCATGGTGTATAAACACGTAGAGCTCTTGGCATTGTTCTGATGAGCAATTAGCTCTTGAACACTGACCTGATGAGCAATTAGATACTTAGTGTGCTTGATGGCCACAGAGATTGGGATATGAGAATCGTATCCTTGGGGGCAAGTCTCGAAACCCGTGTGGGGTGTTACATAAGTTTAGCACAGATGTTAGATTTTATGTCTGGTAATATTAGAGAGCATTCCAATTACCTGTGTTTGATTTCTGGTCTTCTCCTATGAACTTCAAGTTCTAGGATGCTTTAGGATTTAAATGGAATTACAAGTACTTGGTACTTGTTGATTTCTTGAAGGATTATATTCCTTATATTATTGGAAATAAATTTGAGAAAGTTTTAGTATTTTAAAATTTTAAAATACTTGATTATCTGTTTTATTCAAAAGATGTTTACACATGCTAAAATTTTCAGTTTTGAGTTTACCCCTCACAGGTGTCAAGGTTTTGAGTTGAGGATTTCAAAATACTGAAACTATTGATTTCAAAATACTGAAAGTATTGATTCTAAACTTGTTTTTCATTGTATTCCACTTTTACTCTCTTACTAGGCATTCGGCTCACATTTGTTTTAAATGTTTTTCTCCCTCCAAAATCAGTAGCTTGATTGGCAACGTGGTAAGCCGACGCCAACAAATTGAAGACTCGAGATACGAGATGACTTGTTTTAATTAGAATTTACAGTTTTTTAAATTCTAAAGTTGTACTGTATATTTGTATATGATATGTATTGGTCGGCATTGTCCTTGAGATGTGTAAAATTTAAATTTATGGACTGTTTTAATATTATTTGTAAAAGAAAACCTCCAAAGCAATATATCTTGATATTTATGTATTTATTTTTACGATTTTTGTTAAACAGTCTAATTTAATTAAGCTAATTTTCTTTAATTAAATTTCAATAATCATTGTCCCATCTTTAGGGTTGTGACAATATAGAAAACGGTTTAAAATGTCTCTAACTCTGTCTATAAAGAGAACGTGAATATTGGTAACAAGGCTAACATGGAGGTTTCACTTATAGATCCAGAAAAAAATAACTATCGAAATTTTAATCGTTATATCTGTACTAAAAATTATTTAATTTGTGTACTGTTTTAATCTGATGTGATGTTGACTAAATCAAACGGTTAAAAATTAGGCTATCAATAGAGAGATCCTAACAGAGAAAAAGTCCCGATTAATATAAATGTGTGTGTATATATATACATATATATCATGCTACCACATGTATAGGACCCCTCCCGCTAGAGAGCACGAGCCATAGGACCTCAACCTAGATATTGTATTATATACAAGGATGTCCAATCCAACCAGTGCTCCAGGTCCTTCACACCGGCTAAAGATGGAGATGTTACTAATATTTATACCAAAAAAAAAATTCTATTACAAAAATGGAGATCGAGGAGTAACAGAGACTAAAATGGTTTTCGTTTCCGTTTAGTTCGCTGATTCGAGTTTTTAATTCGAGTTGAGATGTGATTTTATGTGAGAGTTTTTTACTGTAGCAAAAAAGTTAGATGTGATTATTTGTGAGAGCTTTTTACTGTAGCAAAACTCGAATTCTAAACTCGAATCAGCGAAATGAACGGGGTTAATTAGAGATGAGAACTTCTTTCATAAAAAGGAGTTAAAAAGAACTATTTCTGCACAATTCCTTTGGCATTTTTTCTTGTGGGGAAGATGAAGCAAGTTTTAATATTTGTTCTGATAGGAATCACCATGCGTCTTGCTCTAATCGCATATGCAATCGAAGGAACCGCTACATTTTATAAACCTCCTTATACTCGTAAGCATATTATATAATTAATTATACACACATGCACACAGATGATATGGTGATTTTTGATCATCATTACTTTCGTGTTTTTGTTAGCTGTTGGATACCTAGTGTTAACTAATACTATATACACAATCTACCGTCTAAACTTTTTTTCTTTCTTTCTTTCTTTTTTTCTTTCTTTTTTTAATAATACCGTCTAAACTTTCTAACAATTACGTTTTATAATATCATAATTATTACTAATTCTCACAAAAACTTAAATTCTTAAGAGATGAGCTAACAATAATATTATATTCTAATAACAATCACCTTAATTGAGCATAAGCCTCTCGTGCTTTGGAGCACAAGACCACGGTCCTTTCGTTGCTGGTGTGAGCAAGAAGCTTTGGAACAATGGAAGAGCTTGTGACATGTTTATTAGATTAAAGATGTTCAGTTTCTTTTATACATGTGGGTTAATTTTTTAGGGTCATTTTTAATTTGTCCCATCAATTTTAAAAACTCTTATTTTATCACTTAAATTATAGATGAGATACACTTTACCTCATTTATTATAATTTTAAAAACATACAGAAATAAATGAGGCTAATTAACGTGATCACATGGTCTTTTTTTTGCTTGTTTCTAGAACTAATAGATGTGATTTGTTATATATTGGTTGTTAATATTGTATCAGCCATCAGGAGTAGCAAGAGGGGAAAGGAATAACATTTGAGAAGACGCAAGACGAAAATGGTTGCAACTTTTGTGAAGACTAGTTGAAACCATCATCAGTGCGTGTGTGTGTGTGTACATTTTTACTACTTAAAGTACCAAGCTACACGTATAGTGATATTGGAACGTCTTTTATATTTATGTATGTGTGATGTGTAACATGTCTTGGTATCTGTATAAAGATGCTCATCGGTTGTTTTGGAAAAAAGACAAGGGAAAAAAAAACAAGAAGAAGAAAGAAATGCCCAGTTTGAAATCTATATGCACATCGTATAAATTTTCTGGGCTCAAAAAGGCTCAAACCGTAGTCTAAATATGGTATCACTTGCGACTCCAACAGTTGGCCTATTAAAAAACTTGTTTTACAGTGTGAAATTAAATTGATGACATTCTACATGCAGCACTTTTCACGAAAATGAAAATCAAAATTTTCAATGGAATCAGGATTAAACTTTTCTTCTAGCAGAAGCATGTATGCTTTAACCGACATGCTTTAACGATTTTTTCAGCAATGCTCCCTAAATTCAAATTGGCAGCACCAGAAAATGTTGCAGGAAAACTAGTAGAGAGGCCCTCTATGTAATAATTGCTTGTAATTCCTACAGCTTGTGTGGTAGAATCCTCGAGCGGAAAAGGGATGGTGAGATTAAAAGTTTGTTTATTTTACCGATTTGAATTTAAAATTTAAGTTTTGTTACAGTAAAAAATTTTTAGAAACAGTCACATCTAACTTTTTTATTACAGTAAAAAATTCTCACATAAAATTACATTTAAATTTAAATTAAAAACTCAAATTAACGAATTAAACGGACCCTAATATTAAAGTAGCATAATGGTGAGAAAAATTCATTCCATTCAACAGAAAATAAATGTAGCGATAAAAAGAGGGAAAAGAATGATAAATGACTATTTTGTTATCATGAATAAGTAATTTATACCATTATTAGACTTTTGGTGGTAAAATAATTTGTAGCTAAAACTACTATCATACAGCTACAATATATATATATATATATATTTTTTTTTTTTTGACTAATAGTATTATTTTTTAGCTACGAGGGAAAAAAATTGTCGCTAGATACTTCTACTGTCGACTTTAGCTCATTTTAAGCCCACAACCCACGAAGGGAGAGAGAGAGAGAGAGAGAGAGAGAGAGAGAGAGAGAGAGACGCACAAGTTAAAAGTTCAAAGATAA